TCAGGCTAAGTTTGGAAATATTGATTAGATTCAGACTGTAGAAGATTTGAACAACACAAGAAACACAAGATCTTAGGCCATGGAGAGAAGGATAATGACATGATGGAAGAATGGGGATTAAGAATTAATCTAGCAATGATGGTGAAACAAATGAGAAGTGAGAAGGACCCTCAGCTGTAACAGGATTTTTTTTTTTAACTTCTACTTTATTTGACAACACATCAGTCTGACACGTGAAATTTTAGTACAGGCAAGCAATAATAATATTAATAATGACAATTTTTAAATTCACATTAAAACCTTAATTTCAGTTTTATGGGTGACATTAGTCACTTCTCCATGTCCCTTCTTCAAACATACATGAGTTTTCTCTACCTTCAAAAAAACTTCAAACACCACATATTCTCACTCATAAGTGGGAGTTGAACAATGAAAACAACACATGGACACATGGAAGGGAACAACACACACAGGGGCCAGTCAGAGGGTGGGGGCACAAGGGGAGGAAGAGCATTAGGACAAATAGCTAATGCATGTGGGACTTAAAACACAGATGACAGGTTGATAGGTGCAGCAAACCCCCATGGCACATGTATACGTGTGTAACAATCCTATACATTCTGCACTTGTATCCTGGAACTTAAAGTAAAAAACAAAACAAAACAAACAAAAAACCTTTAATCTTCCCATGCTCTCCAGCCATAGAATGATTCCTCTCCCTCCTTTGACTGCCGAAGTTCTCCAAAAATTAACATTTTTTGTTTTATTTTTATTTTAAAATGTTTTTAATATTTATTTTATTTGCCCCTCAGACCCAGGAAGCTTGATTCTTGCTTCAACCTCTCTATTGACACTAATAGGCTGCAGGCCCCACTGGTCACATCATGGGAGCCCTTTCTCTTCTACCAGTTCTGGATGGTCCTGTAATTCTCCATACCATTGACCAGGGCCTCCTGGAAACTCTGCCTCCTGAGCTGGTGTGGCCCTCCTGACTCACTCACAACATCAGGTCCAAAGTAGAAGCTTCCTTTTTCCATCTCAGTGAGTGTATCAATTTTGTGGTTGTGGTAGGACAGAATAATTGACTTCCCCCTCCCCTACTTATGAATAAGTCACTTGAAGTGGCAAAAAGGACTTTGCAGCTGTGATTGAGAATCTTGAAATGGGGAGAGTATCCTCTCCCCGTTGCATTACTCACGTGGCTCCAATCTAATCACGTGAGTTCTTAAAGCCAGAGAAACTTTCCCAGCTAGAGCCTGGGAAAGAGAAATGTGACAATAGACAAAGAGTCAGAGAGGTGCAGCCCTACCGGCTTTGAAGACGGAGGAAGGGGGCCATGAATCAAGGAATGCACGTGAAAACTTCCAGCAGATGAAAAAGGCAAGGAAATGGATTCCTCTAAGAGACTCCAGAAGGAACATGGCCTCGCTAACACTTTAGCCCAGTAAGACTAATTTTGGACTTCTGACCTAGAGAACTGTAAGATAATAAATGATCTTTTATTTTAATCATTAAGTTGGTAGTAATTGATAGCAGCAATTGGGAACTAATATAGTGGTTAAGCTACTTCCTTGTTCAGACAGGTAGCCTGAAGCTCTCACCACCGTCTCCCCTCCTCCCTGACCCTGCTCCCTCTTTGAGAATGTCCCAAAGGTCTATGGAACTACAAAAGATATGAAAATGAACATTCTTAACAGCTGGAGCTTGAAGGTCCGAGCTGGTCCTCCTGAGAGCTTGGGTGCCTTTCTCTTGGGGTGTTTACTTCACCTGAGCCCTCGCTCCCTTAGCCAAGGTGCTGCTCTATCTACCATCCAGAAACTGGACAGGTGTGAGAATTACTATAGTGGATGCTCTAGAAAGCAACAGAGAAACCCAAGTGCAGATTAATCTGTCTGTTACAGTCACAGAAAAGATGTGTCTAGTGAGTTATTCAGGTTTGTGTAAAACCATGAGTTGTTTCTGAGAAGACATTTTTTCTTTCAACTTCACTTTAAATTCAATCAGAATGGATTTTCACCTGGCATTTAACAGAATAAAGCACATGTTGCTGTTGCTCTCATTACCTGAACCCAAGCTACCAAGACCCCAGAGGTTGCCTTTGGACTCTGACAAAGAATCTAAGTCTTTTGAGAGTTACTTATAAAGCAGGTAACCATTATTGATCCAGAGGAGAACTATTGTACAGAAGAAAGAAAAGACATCAAGGCTAACTAGAAGAAAGAAAAGGGACTCAGTTATTAAAACCAGGGGAATGTGGACTGGTAATGAAGACTTTATAGAAAAACAGCCAAAGGAAAAAAAAGAAAAAGAAAAAAAAAAGAAAGGAAGGAGAAACTGCAGAATATTTATATTCTTATTCTTGGTGCCATAAAAGTGAAACGTGTTAAGAACACAGTTGGGGGTTAGGTATGTAGAGCAAAGGGTTCAAGAGAAGCTAAATTATGCCTGATCCAGTCTCTGTTGCTCTGGCTTTGGGGGCTTCTTTCCCTTGTCGTTAAAGTGATGACAAGGAAAAAATACTTCATTTGTTATTAGAAACTGGGCTCTCATGTAACTACTCAGCACTCAGCACCACTTGGGGAGCAGATCAGGGTAGAGGTTTGGAGGAAGGGTGGTTATGCAGCAGTGAATGAGGTCATGAAGGAAATGAATTAGCTATGTCTAAAGGATTAATTTGGACCCTTCCAGCAGAAAGAACTTCTGGCCCTGAGAACTGTTGCTTCTCTGAGTGAACTGGCAAATGAGTGTAGATATTTGGAAAAAAAAAAAAAAGGCATGTTTGTATATATAAGCATTGCTTTGCCAGCCCCACATGAAAGATAATTCTCAGCCCATGGACAAAGAAGCAGTGCAAGCCTCTCATGCTCTACATCAGCTGGTCTGAGATCAGAGCACGGGTGGCACCTGTCACTTGCCCTGTGCCTGCCCAGGTGGGTGTGTGTGAAAGAGAAGAGGCTGTGGCATTTATTCTACAAATGATACAGCTGTAAGAACAAGGTCAATGTTAAGTTATATATGGGAGCTAATTTTTCAAGACTCATTTAAGGGTACCATGAATTACAGCAAACAAAACTATTGATTCGGGCTGGGCTCAGTGGCCCACGTCTCTAATCCCAGCTATTTGGGTGGCTAAGGCCAGTGGATCACCTAAGGTCAGGTGGTCGAGACCAGCCTGACCAGTATGGTGAAACCCCATCTCTACTGAAAATACAAAACTTAGCTGGGCATGGTGGCATGTGCCTGTAGTCCCAGCTACTCTGGAGGCTGAGGCAGGAGAATTGCTTGAACCTGGAGGCCGAGGTTGCAATGAGCCGAGATTGCACTACTATACTCCAGCCTGGGTGACAGAGTGAGACTCTGTCTCAAAAAAAAAAAAAAAAAAAAAAAGCAAACAATCTATTGATTCTGATAATGTCTCTATGCATGTCATTCTTGAACAAAAATAAAATATGTGTATATGTGTGCTTACTTATATATTTTTCAGGAACTGTTCTCTCTAAACAGGGAAGGGGCTGGTGTTGGGGAGTTGGAGGGGCAATAATATGACAAATATATTTTCAAGACATATTTTTGTTGAAATCCGTGGTACTAATATTAGGACTGTGTTTGTCTCCCTGTATCTTGAAAAAAGGTGGGTAATGAAATGCTACCTTTAAACAACCAAGAACATATATGTATACATATGGGGGTAGGGTAGGAGGGGCTAGAAACACCATGCTAATGAACCCACTGTCGCCTGGTAATTGTATAGCTCAACTGCAGGAAAATCATCTAAAGAAACACACTATCTCAAATAACAATGTAACCTAGTGAAACACATAAAAGCCTTTCCCCCGCTCACTAATGCCAAAGCCATGACCCACAACGGATGTGTAATATGTGTTGGTACATGCGTCATTATACAGAGTGATAAGTTATATCTCCAGATTTTTCCTAGCACTCCCACTTGCCAATTCTGTGCTTCCTTTTAAGGCTAACTGAATTTATATCAGCCTGAATTAAGCATGTCTTTTTATTCTGATGCTTTGACAGCTGGGGCCTTGCTGACCCTGGAGAGACTGCCCCTCCCAGGGCTGGGCCAATTCCTAGAGATAGTGAAGGATGTCTGTCTTTCATATGCAAACCAACCAATCCAGATCCCAGGCCCCAATCACCTCCTTTACTGGGCTCTCTCAGGTGGAGCCGCTACACCCTAATCACCCAGGGCCACGTATCAGACTACCTGATAGAGACAGCCCCTGTATCCCAGAGCCCATGAGAAGTGTTCACACTAGCCTGCTTACCCTGCCTCACCCATTCCTTCATGGAAACCACAAATAAAGGCTCTGGCCCAGGTTTTCCATTGCTCCCTCTGCCTCCTGACCCACCTCTTCAGGAGTAACAAGACATCTTTTCAATGGCAGTCATCTCCTGAATAATAAAAACACCCATACCTTAAAGCATGACCCTGGCCCAGCACGGTGGCTCACGCCTGTAGTCCCAGCACTTTGGGAGGCAGAGGCAGAAGCAGGCAGATCATGAGATCAGGAGTTTGAGACCAGCCTGGGCAACATGGTGAAACCCAGTCTCTACTAAAGATACAAAAAATTAGCCAGGCATGGTGGCGCGTGCCTGTAATCCCAGCTGCTCAGGAGGCTGAGGCAGGAGAATCGCTTGAACCCCGGAGGCAGAGGTTGCAGTGAGCCAATCGCACCATTGCACTGAATGACAGGGTGAGAATCCATCTCAAAAATAAAAAAATAAAAAAAGCATGGCTCTATGGATGTAGCTCATTAAAATTTTGTTGATTAAAGCTTAGGATTCAGTTGTTAGACGGATGTTATTAATAATAAGACTCAGGTGACAGCTCAGTCATAAGAAAAGTCCATTTGTTTTACTCTGACCCATTGCCAAACAGCCACATGACAAATCCGATTGTTTTGTAAATATTTACTTAGAGTTACTATGTACCAATCAGATCTGTACAAAACCATTCCTCCAAATTCAAGCAAAATCCTTACCTCTCTGTGCCATGATCACCTGAGTTGCTCCACGTCTGGGAGCTTCCTGATTTCCCACACGTGCCACGTCGGGAAGAGGCCCAGGAAGGGATAGTGTGCCCACGTCCCCTTGGGTTCTTTCCAACCAGTCTGCAAGAACAGAATTTGTCCTTTTAATCAATTCACAGTAGACAGCCTTTTACCCTACACCTACATATGCTAATAGAAGGATGCCTGACATGTCTACACAACATAAATATCTTCAACCACATCCAGGGAATTGTTCCAAAGTTAATTGAAGGGTGGTGGGTAGGGAGGGGCTACTCAGTTTCATTTAAACAACTGTATACTTTTGTACTGAGAACACTTCCCCACCCTGTTTTACAGCTGAGAAACCTGAGACCTAGAAAACAGTGATTTACCTAGAATTAATCGCCTGTTTGGGGAGAGAATCCCTATTTGACTCCTTCTGAAGTTTTGCCCTAACTACTTGTGTCATTTAGAGCACATAAACCAACTTCCCTAAACCTCAATTACTTTTTCTGAAAATAAGGATACCGCATTGCAGGTTTGTTGTATTATTCAAGGTGTGAAAAGTGCTTTGTAAGCTGTAAAATAGAAAACGAATAATAGCACATTATTGGTAGTACAATTACACTGATAGAAGAAAAGGGCCAGCCCAATTAACAGTTTGGACTTAATAGTCTCATCTTCTCTCAGAAGATATAACACATATCCTAGAAATACAGTCATGTACCACATAACATCTCGATCAAGGATTCACTGCATATAGATGGTCCCATAAGATTATAACGGAGCTGAAAAACTCTTGTCACCTAGTGAGCTTGTAGCCATCATAACCATTACTCCCGTGTTTGTGGTGATGCTGGTGTAAAGAAACCGACTGCACTTTGGGAGGCGGAGCCGGGTGGATCACGAGGTCAGGAGATCGAGACCATCCCGGCTAACACAGTGAAACCCCGTCTCTACTAAAAAATACAAAAAAAAAAAAAAACTAGCCGGGCGAGGTGGTGGGCACCTGTAGTCCCAGCTACACGGGAGGCTGAGGCAGGAGAATGGTGTAAACCCGGGAGGCAGAGCTTGCAGTGAGCCGAGATCCGGCCACTGCACTCCAGCCTGGGCGACAGAGCGAGACTCCGTCTCAAAAAAAAAAATAAAAAATAAATAAAAATTAGAAACCGACTGCACTGTCACTTGTATCAAAGTATAGCACATACAATTATGTACAGCGCATAATACTCGATACTAAATCACTGTTACTGGTTTATGTACTTACTACACTTTTTATCCTTCTTTTGGAGTGTATTCCTTCTACTTATAAATAAAAAACAAACAAACAAAATGTTAACTGTAAAACTGCCTCGGGCAGGTCCTTCAGGAGTTATCCAGAAGAAGGCATTGTTACCATAGGAGGTGACAGCTCCATGCCTGTTACTGTCCCTGAAGACCTTCCAGGGGGACAAGATGCGGAGGTGGAAGACAGTGATATTGATGATCCTGACCCTGTGTAGGCCTAGGCTAATGTGTGTGTTTGTGTCTTAGCTTTTAACAAAGAATTTAACAATTAAAAAAACAATAAAAATCTATAGAAGAAAGCTTCTTGAATAAGGATATAAGAAAGAAAGTACTTTGCACAGCTATACAAAAGTACTTTGCGTCTGTTTTAAGCTAAGTGTTATTACAAAAGTTAAACCGTTTTTTAAAAAGTTGATAAAGTAAAAAGTTACAGTAAGCTAAGGTTAATTTATTATTAAAGAAAAAAGAAATTTTTGTGTAAATTGAGTGTCACCTAAGTGTACAGTCTATAAAGTCTGCAGTAGTGTACAGTAATATCTTAGGTCTTCACGTTCACTCACCACTCCCTCACCAACTCACCCCGAGCAACTTCCAGTCCTGCAAGCTCCATTCATGGTAAGTGCCCTATACAGGTACCATTTTTTATCTTTAATATTATATTTTTACTGTACTTTTTCTTTTTTTTTTTTTTTTTTTTGAGACGGAGTCTCACTCTGTCGCCCAGGCTGGAGTGCAGTGGCCGGATTCAGTTCACTGCAAGCTCCGTCTCCCGGGTTTACGCCATTCTCCTGCCTCAGCCTCCCGAGTAGCTGGGACTACAGGCGCCCGCCACCTCGCCCGGCTAGTTTTTTGTATTTTTTTAGTAGAGACGGGGTTTCACCGTGTTAGCCAGGATGGTCTCGATCTCCTGACCTCGTGATCTGCCCATCTCGGCCTCCCAAAGTGCTGGGATTACAGGCTTGAGCCACCTCGCCCGGCCTACTGTACCTTTTCTATGTTTAGATACTGAAATAGTTACCACTGGGTTACAATTAGCTACTGTATTCAGTAAAGTAACATGTCTACAGGTTCACAGCCTAGCGACAATAGGCTATAGCATATAGCCTAGGTGTGTGGTAGGCTATACCAACTACATTCAATAGGTACATTCTATGATGTTTGTGCAAGGGTGAAATCGCCTAACAATGTATTTCTCAGAACATATCCCAGTTTTTAAGCAACACATGACTTTACACTTTGATGATGAAATGTTTCATCCAACAGCCTAGAGCTCCCATAGAACCTCTGTCTCTAGCTATGGATTTGTGCTTTTTGGCTAGTATGTAATCCCAGGATTACTCTGGGAATTTTGACTGAAACTTTTTAGTTAATCTCCTTTTTCAAATGTATATTTAGTTGCAGAAGTAATATATATTAATTGCAAACTTTCTATACTACAGAAATGTAGAAAGCCAAAGTACTGGTCCTGGCCGGATGAGGTGGCTCACACCTGTAATCCCAGCACTTTGGCAGTCTTGAGGTCAGGAGTTCGAGACCAGTCTGGCCAACATGGTGAATCCCCGTCTCTACTAAAAGTACAAAAATTAGCCAGGCGTGGTGGCGGGTGCCTGCAATCCCAGCTACTCAGGAGGCTGAGGCATAAGAATCACTTGAACCCAGGAGGCAGAGGTTGCAGTGAGCCGAGATCATGCCACTGTACGCCATCCTGGGCCAAGAGCGAGACGCTGTCTCAATTAAAAAAAAAAAAAAAAACCCAAAGTGCTTGTTCTTCTTTAGCCTGGTCCAACTCCACTTTCCAAAGGTAACACTGTAACCCTGGTTCACACGCACGGTGTTTTAAAACACAGAAATGAGATCCTATGTATATATGCGCACATATACATATATATGCCATTTGATGCTTTCCCTTAGCAATCTATGATGGACACTTTTATCCGTATAAAGCCGCCTAGCTGTTTTTCACAGCTACATAATACTCCATTGCAAAACTGTATCATAATTCAGCAGTTCCCAACCTTTTTGGCACTAGGTACCAGTTTCATGGAAGACAATTTTTACACAGGACAGGGGGCAGGGGTTCAGGATGATTCAAACACATTACATTTATTGTGCACTTTATTTCTATTATGATTTCATACTCACCATGATGTAGAATCAGTGGGAGCCCTGAGCTTGTTTTCCTGCAATTAGACAGTCCCATCTGGAAGTGATGGGAGACAGTGACAGATCATTAGGCATCATTAGATTCTCATAAGGAGCGTGCAACCGAGATCCCTTGCGTGCGCAGTTCACAATAGGGTTCGTGCTCCTATGAGAATCTAATGTCTGCCGCTGGTCTGACAGGAGGCGGTGCTCAGGCAGTAATGCTGGCCTGCCGGCAGCTCACCTCCTACTCTATGGCCAGTTCCTAACAGGCCACGGACCAGTACTGGCCTGGGGGTTGGGACCCCTGTCATAATTTATGACCCCCTCCAATTTATCTGGTTTCCAATTTGTCTTTTTTTTTATTTATTTATTTGTTTGTTTGTTTGTTTGTTTGAGGCAGGGTCTCACTTTGTCACCCAGGCTGGAGTGCAGTGGCTTGATCATGGCTTACTGCAGCCTCAACCACCTGGGCTCAGGTGATCCTCCCACCTCAGCCTCCCCAGTAGCTGGAACCACAGGTGTGCACCACCATGTCTGGCTAATTTCTGTATTTTTTGTAGAGATGGGGTTTTGCCATGTTGCCCAGGCTGGTCTAAAACTGGGCTCAACTGACCCACCTGCCTCAGCCTCCCAAAGTGCTGGGATTACAGATGTGAGCCACTGCGCCCAGCCAATTTGTCTTTCTTCTACATCATGCTGTAATTAACTTCTTTGTGTGTGTGTATTTGTGGACACTTGAGTATTTCTGTGGAACTGATTCCTAGAAGTCAAAGAGTAAACACCTTCAGGAGAGCTCAGAGAACCCAGACTTTGGTGTTTTCACTTTAAGTAACCATTTTGATTTTCATCATTCTTTTATCACCAACTATGCCTCCATGCAGACAATTGCACACAAGTCCAAGGCAGATACAGTATAGATCGTGCAGAGTTAGGAATGGCACTAGAATAGAGCCCATTGTGTAGGTTGAGGAGGGGTTATCTGGCATGCTCTGCAGAGTGACTCAGCCCTCACATCCATTGCCTCTAACCCTGCCAAATCTGCATTCCTTCTGACAAACTGCATCTGTGTGTACAATGAAACTTTTGACCCCACCAGCCTAGGGTTGCTTTAAATATACCAACGAGGTCATGTCACAGTTAGTGCGCATTCATAAATGACTTTGTAATGAACAAAAAAAGAGAAGCTCAAACTTTCACTCTGCAAATATGTCAGACTCAGTCTCCATTTGGAACCACGGAATATCAATCTCTCACCAGCCAGGCAAGGTTCTGCCCAGCAGGCTGCTCACCACTCTAGCATCTCTCAGCTCCCACAGTCCCAGCCCATGCATCTGAATTCCAACTCCTGGGAAAATGCTGGAACAAATCCCAACTTTCAGAGTTGTCTTTAGCTTCGAGAAAATATTTTCAGAGATCTAGTTGTATTTACTGAACATTCATGGACTAATTCCTAATGCATCTAATTTTTTAGACCAACTGTAATTCACCTGTTACATTTGGACTTTTGGCTGTGCTATAGTTTTCCTAAATTGAAATATTTCTTTTGCTCAAAGATCTCCCTGGTGTTCAAAAGCAAAATTGGTTTCCTGTAAAAGCTTGGCATCACTATCATTAATTAACAGAAAGCAGAATGCCTCTGTGTGTTTACCTTCACAAAGTGTATCCATGCAATGCATTTCTTTCCCAGA